GTACCCAACAAAAGCTTCAACTCCAAAGTTTCACCTACAAAGCTTCAACTCCAAAGCTTCACCTACAAAGCTTCAACTCCAAAGTTTCACCTACAAAAACTTCAACACAAAAGCTTCACCCACAAAAGCTTCACCAACAAAAGCTTCATCAATGGAGGACAACTACAAATTCTCAAAAGCTTCACACTATCTTGATCAAGATAGTGTAAAGTAAAATCAATTCATGGTACCCAACAAAAGCTTCAACTCCAAAGCTTCACCTACAAAAGTTTCTACACAAAAGCTTCAACTCCAAAGCTTGACTTACAAAAGTTTGACCTACAAAAGCTTGACCTACAAAAGCTTCACCCACAAAAGCTTGATCCACAAAAGCTTGACCCACAAAAGCTTCACCTACAAAAGCTTCACACTATCTTGATCAAGATAGTGTGAAGCAAAATCAATTCATGGTGCCCAACAAAGCTTCAACCTCAAAGCTTCAACACCAAAGCTTCACCTACAAAGCTTAATATATATATATATATATATATATATATATATATATATTTTCGGAAATTCAAAAAATCAAAAATTCAAAAAAAAAAAATTGCCTAGGCCTCCTCTTCTTTGGACCTAACAACTTTCATAACAAATATATATATGAAGGAGGAGTTTTGGGCTACCACTTAGAAAGGAAATGCCTCATTCGTCAACTCCCTCGATCGGAGACTTGGGGGACTCCTACCAGATGCTACTGCACCTTGATACTCAGAAGTCTCATGACCACTCAGTAACTTGGATTTTTCGAGTCTCCAACCGAGAAGTTTTCCTCACTCGGGAAATTAAGGGAGCACTACCTCAACTTACATGCTTCACTCTTAAAGCTTCAACATACAAGCTTCAACAAAAGAAAAAAATCAAAGAATTAGTGAAGAAGGCCTTGATGTATTTAACACAATATGTTGAAATGAAGTAAAGCTTGTTTATTGATATATCCGATAAGTTACAAATATGTACATATACATGAATCAAAATAAACAAACAAGAGGGAGCCTTCACAAAAGTTGCTCATGAGAAGTCTCAGCAGTCGGTAGAGCCCCAGAAAGAGTAGGCACCGGAGGGTGATCATTCGGAGCCTCAGTACTGGGCAGAACCCCAGAAGGAGGATGCATCGAAGGTTGATCATTTTGAGCTTCATTACGCGGTACAGCCCCAGAAGACGAAGACAATAAATGGTTTTGGAACAAACCCACAAACCTTTGATGATCAAGCAAAATCTGACCATCAAATTCCTGCAGCTGGTCAAGCTTCCTTTTCATGTTTGTGGCATAGTCATGTGTGAGCCTGTGCAACTGTTTATTCTCATGCTTGAGCCCTCTGATCTCCTGTTTGAGACTTATCACTTCAGCCGCCAATGATTCAACTTGGCGGGTTCGAGCAAATAGGTGTTGGGCTATATTAGACACAGAGTCTGCACACTGAACACTGAGAGCCAGAGAATCCTTAACAGCCAACTCATCAGACCGTTTGGAAAGTAATCTATTATCTTTAGGAGTGAGAAGGTTCCTAGCCTCCACCGCAGTGGTCATATCATTTTTCATCACAGAGTCCCCAACTGTAAGATGACCAATAGAGGATAAGAAGGATGAGCGCCATATGTTGTCTTGAGAAGGCATAGCTGCCTATTCACCAAAGTTTAAGTCAAAACGATGATCGGATGAGCCAGACATTCTCAGAAATGATGAAGGAGAAATGAGGTGCAAAAAATCTCTTAAGTACAAAAAAAAAGGAAAATTCCTACAAGTAATAACTCTCTGAATGTACTTATTGCACACAATTGGTGCCCCTATAAAAGAAAGGGCAACATGGTCGTTGGTTCAAAAATCGAAGAGGCACCACTCTCCACACGCAACATCAGCTCTTCGGGTACCACATATAATTTTGCCAAAGATCTCTGACAAAGTTTAGACACATAAATTTTGAAGGTCTATCTACCCTACTATTACCCACAAGGGTAAAGGAACAGCACCACTACTTGATAACTGAAAAGTTCCTATGTGTGTCAACCTCCGTGTTCCGTGGTAAGGCAGACTGGCAAAAATACCCAACATTTACTCACATTTGAGAAAACACTCCCAATAAGATTGCTTGCTAAAAAATCGAAGAGGCACCGCTCTTCGAATCTCGAGAGCCAAACTCACAACAGAATTACGTGCTCAAAAATCGAAGAGGCACCGCCCTCCGAATCTCGAAAGCCAGACTCCCAACAAGATTACTTTCTCAAAAATCGAAGAGACACTGCTCTCCGAATCTCAAGAGTCAGACTCCCAATAGGATTGCTTTCTCAAAAATTAAAGAGGCACCGCTCTCCGAATCTCGAGAGGCAGACTCCAAACAAGATTACGTGCTCAAAAATCGAAGAGGCACCGCCCTCCGAATCTCGAGAGCTAGACTCCCAACAGGATTACTTTCTCAAAAATCGAAAAGACACTGCTCTCCAAATCTCAAGAGTCAGACTCCCAACAGGATTGCTTTCTCAAAAATCGAAGAGACACCGTTCTCTGAATCTCAGGAGCTAGATCCCCGACAGGATTGCTTGTTCGAAAATTGAAGAGGCATCACTCTCCGAACTTCGAGAGCCAGATTTCCTTGGATAAAGCTTATCTACAATCTTCACACGCAACATCAGCTTTCTAGATACCACAAACCACTTTTTCAAAGTGCTCTGACAAAGTTAAAACACGTGAAGCTTGCAGCTCCCACTACATTGCTATGACCAAGAAGGGTAAAGGAATAACACCACTATTTGTTGTTAGGGAGACTCCTATATATGTCGACCTCCATCCTCCACAGCCAGGCAGACCTGCAAATAAAAAAAAATGCTCAACTTTTCTTCACATCCGAAAAGGCACTCTCAGCAGAGTCTCTCGAAATACTCAGCTTTTTTTTCTCCCGATAATACCTCTGCAAACAAGCCATACCAAAGCAAGAGTATCTCATATCATCAGGGTTAAAAGCAAGAGTATCCCATATCATGCTTTTTCCCTGTCTTTTCCTTTGGCATTGTTCTTACCTGCAAGACAAGGAGAAATAGAGCAATCAGTCAGTATTTGGAATCAAGCTTCCAGTCAGGAACTGACTGCCTGGAACCCCTTGCTTGATTACTTATGTGGCATTGCTATCGAGTACTCATCTTCAACATCTTATGCTTCTAGAAAAGATACCATATCTGCCTGAGGAACAGATAGGGCAAGTGAGAAGGATACAAGGAAGCATGTGGAGACAAGTGTAACAGAACACGTGCCGATACATCTACTACTTTGTTAACAGCAAAAGTATCCCATATCATCAGGGTCGAACGTACTCTAGATTTGATGGACTTGTTTTGACCCTCAAATTCTTGAGTCGGCCTTATACTCTGGAGGAAACCTGAAAACTCTCCAGCCCAGTTCAAGAATAAGCCTGTGGAAAGTTACTTATTCAAAAGCAAAAGTATCTCATATCATATATTCTCTATTTGCTTCTCCTTATCCTTGTTGCTGTTTATGAGACACAAGGAGAATGAGAACAATCAACCAGAAGCCAAAATCAAACTTCTGATCTGGGACTGATTGCTTGGAACTTTGATTGCTTACCTTGTCTGTCACTTCTTTCGGCAAATCTCCTAGCTCGGCGACTTGGGGGACTCCTACTACATGGTCTGTATCGCGCTTGACCAAGCCTGAAACTACAAGTAAGCTTCAAGTCAAATTGATACATTATCTTGTGCATCTCCACCGGTTAAAGATACCACCCATGGATGGAGGAAAAGTACTTCCAGAGAACATGCCACATCTACCTATGAAACAGATAAGGCAAGTGAAGACGATACCACACTTTGGTACTTAGAAGTTTCGTGATTACTCAGTGGCTTGGATCTTGCAAGTCCCCAACCGAGGAGCTTCCCTTACTCGGGAACTTAGAGGAGCACTGTTTGTACCATACTTGACCAATTCCGAAACTACTGAGCACCGGTCAACGTTATATCGTCAAGGACCCAGAAGAGTTTCCCTCCAACCAGGAGGCCAATAACAGTGTGACACGTGTCAACATCAGAAGCCAATCATAGCGCGACACGTGTCAACATCAGAAGCCAATCACAACACGACACGTGTCAATGTTAGAATAAAACTAGAAACTCTCTTCTATAAATAGAGATCATTCTCTCACAATATTTCCTAATGTCATTTGTACTAAATCATTCACTAGTACTCACTAAAAGAGAGTTTGAACCTATGCATTTGTGTAAACCCTTCACAATTAATGAGAACTCTTCTACTCCGTGGACATAGCCAATCTGGGTGAACCACGTACATCTTGTGTTTGCTTCCCTGTCTCTATCCATTTACATACTTATCCACACTAGAGACCGGAGCAATCTAGCGAATGTCACAAACTTAACACTTTCTGTTGTACCAAATTCCCCATTGATTTTGTGCATCAACAACTATTTTTAATACATGTGGAACCATATTATTGGTAGGACAATTTGGAACTACATGTTCAACCCACTATGTTGCGGATTCTTACCCCTTTCCCTCCCCTTATCGTAGATTAGAGTTGGTAATGTTGCTTGTACACTACAAAAAGTTGTATTCACTAGCTAAAGATGTTAAACTACCTTTATTTTTCTTTGTAGAGACGGAAGCATTGTCTCCTCTGATCGACAGAGACAATGCGGCGGTGATCTATTTTTTCTACGGGTGTAGCTATTGATATTTAGGGACATAAACAAGATTTGTCTGTCAATTTTTAATATAGTATTTTTTTTATGGACAAAAAATGCAATATACATGGGATTAGGAAATTATTTATTTTTAATAATTAAATTAAATTGTCTGAAATGAAAATATTCTATTATTTTGACGCACATGGAACCCATGAGTGGTACATTTCATCAACATAGTGGGTCTAATTTGTGCATTACTAACGGATTTTTTGACGATTTTTCGATAAGAGACAAAGTGAATGCAAAAAGAAACTCACTTAAAATCTACTCTTCAATACCAAATGATTAAGAGCTCGTTTAGACATGTGTTTAAAATAACTGAAAGCGCTTTCAAGAATAAAACAATGCATGTTCAAATCAATTTGTCTTGCGTTTAAGCACAACAAAAATGACAGCTGACTTCTTTGACTCAGCTATTGAGATTTGCTCTTCAAGTTTCTGCTGATACAAGCTGAAGAGAACACCTAAGATTTCTTCTCCAAATTGTTGCGTGATGAGTCCCTCTGTGATAGCTCTAAAAGTTGGAGCACTGGGAGTGCCATGTTTCGAGACATGCTGTGGTAAGGCTTCCAATATCTCTGTGCTAAAACATCCATTTCGTTCCACAATGATTTCCAGTTCTTGGGGAGATGCGAAATAGCAAGGCATGTTAAATGAATCCACTTTTTCTTCACTAATTACCCCCTGTATAAACGAAAAACATAGTATTATTATTAATTATGCACCCATATATATTTAAGATACGGTCTTCTGAAATACTGCATAAAGGAACGATATCAAATATGTGAAATTGATCGATTTTTAAAATACCTCTACTCAGAAAGAAAAAAAGCTTATAAACAAACCAATTTAATTTACCGGCGTATGCAGTTCGATGAATATTGCTTACCTTCCTAGCCATCTCCACAAGGCAAGATCCTAAAATGTCAATAGCCAAATTTCCAATTAAGTGATGAGACTGAGGGATATCATTGGGGAGTCCTAATAGGTTAAGCACAATCAATCCTCGATGCACAGTCTCAAGTGCTCTGGCACGGAGGAAACAATCCATGTCCTCAGCATATTGAGATTGATATGCCTTCAATACTTCGTCTTGGTTATTTGAGTAGTGGATTCGTCCTTTATTCCAAGCACGACTGTTTTTGTCCATTACATCTTTTGGTACCCTAGAAAGCCAATGAAGGGCTAATGAAGAGTGAAAAAAGTTAATGGAAGCCTTGGGAAACAAGCGACCGTGGAAAGAACCTGGCACACCCGCTGCATAATAGTTCCTGTTCTGAGGGAGGTAATTGAAGAGTATGTTAAAATCATTTAGGGTTTTATCACTGAAGAAAACTTGAAATTTGGGGACTTCAGAACTCGGCCCTCCGCTTTGATACTCAAATTTCACAGCTTCAAGTATATTTTCAACAGAAAAAAATGTATTAGGCCCAACCGAACAACCCAAATCTGCAATATGGAAGGTGTTGAATGGTAAAAACATGTCCAGTTCAAGCTTTTCTTAATAGCCTTGCTTAGAAGTTCTTTGGTAGCATCAACAACTACTTTCTGCGAAAGCACAAATCACATTATAATGCTAATATGTTCAGATTTTGCAACTTCCTTGGAATTTCCTAATACCAACAGAAAGGATTACGAAAGAAGAAAATTTTCTCTTTTCCAAGTTAACTAATGAAGAAAACATTTTCGTAAGAATTTCCAAGTAGTAAAGGCTGAATAAAAAGAAATAAAAAAAAAAGATTTTTCATCAATTAGCAGAACCTGTTCGATAGAATTCTTGGCATAGCTGTCGGGGCCATCTCCACCTTTCATTGGATATGCCTCAGAAACATTAGTGGAATCCCCCATTGCAGCTGTCATCTCTCTCTCTCTCTCTCTCTCTATTTGTTTATATGGGAGTTGTGGGTGGTATGTGGGAGTCACTCCACAAATATAATCCGTAGGCAAGAAGAAGAGAATAATGGGGAAAAGTCATTGGTAGTTGGTAAAGATGCCGTGTTCTGATCTGTGAGATAAGTACAAAATAATATAAAAAATAAATTAGATGGAAGAACCACAAGTATCACAATATATTAAAAGTTGAGCTGACCAAATTTCAGCCCAAAATTCAAAATAATATAGAAAACCCAACGATTTGGACTCAAGCCCCAGTCCCGAACAGTACCGAAATACCAGCAAAATTTCTATAAAAAAAAAAAAGAAGTAATAAATTAGATGATCATCAGCCTGTAAGCCCTCTACTTGTAGAGGCTACTGTTTCTCTTCGCATAGCGTACATCCATTCGGCAGCACACTTTTAAATCAGCCACAACTCTTCATTAAGACTAGTCAACTTTCTGTAAATTATAATGGTCATCAGTTTGACTTCGATGCAATATCAATGGCTATTATTTAATTATAGAAAGACATCAATTATAAGACACAACTTATCAACTATATGGAAACGGTGGCTGCTGTGCAGTTTGAATGCGGATTCAACCGTTCCGAATTGCTGAACCATAAGCTTTGTGGCTGCAAGGATTGATGGTTTGCAGATTGGAAGAGAACTGGTTTTCAGGTTTAGAGTTAAAGAAATGTCTGAGTTTGTAATTGTTTGTAATGGATGGTCACCATGAAAATAATTAAATGGTGTATATTGTGCCACCTGTAATTTGATGTTGTTGGAATTTTAATTGTGTATTTCAAAGTACAAGTCTTCATTAATCACTTTAATATTATTCAATTTGTTTTAAAATCCTGATTTCAGTTTGTTAAGAATGTTCCACATTGATGAGAGGAGAGACCTTGCATGAGTTTATAAGAGGTTGGGCTACTCCCCATATTGTCAATTGATTTTATGGTGGAACCCCAACTCTCTTCATGGTATCAGAGTTGGTGCCAAATAGCCACATGCACTCCACGTTACCCCAACTTAGATAATCATTAGTGGGATTATGAGGGACTCGCGTTCACTAAAGCCTTCACTAAAGGGTCTTAGCGAGACCTTCCAAAAATAGCTAGACTGCTAAGTTGATCTTGCCCTTTCTACTTTCGGACCCATGGATCTCATTCTTCGCAGATCAACAGTAACAACAGTAGCAGATCGATGACTATTCATCAAATCGATCTCACCCTTCTGTGGAGGCGACGCTGAGGATTGATGGGTTATTTCAGAGAAATCGATCAACGGCGGCGACTCATGCTTCTCTATTTTTGCAGTCCAGCCTCTCTTCCTCTCACGGGTAATGACTCAAGGTACTCCTTTCCTCATCTTCCTCCTCTTCTTTTCCTTATTCAAAACAATTTCAAAGTTTCAAATTGCGGGTTGAGAATCTGCAGAATTCGATCTGGCAAAGAAGGACTTCGATCACGTACTGGAAAAACAGGACAGCGATCTCGTACTGCAAATGCAAGACGGTGATCTCGCATTGCAAAATCAGGACAGTGGTCAGAAAAATCTCTTGAAAAAATTGCGTCTTGCAATAAAAATAATTTTGAAGGATCTGAAATTTTGCAGAAAAAAGATGGAGAAACGAAGAGAATATGACGGGGTCAAAGAGGGAGAAAAGCAAAGAAGTTTCTAGGGAGAGGGAGAGTTCTTAAGAAAATGAAAAATGTTGCATAATAATAAAATATTAATAAGTATGTATTAAAATATTAATAGATATGTATTAAATAATGTAATATTAAAGGTTGTAATTATTTTGATTTTTAGTTCGGCGCTAAACTAAATGTTTCACTAATTTAGTCCAACTTAGTCTATTATAAGCCAATCCAGCTTAATCCTTGAAGTTAGTCCAATCCGAAATAGTCCAGTGCAACAAACGCACTCTAAAAGTTTTTGTTCATCTAAGACTCGACCGAGACTTGCTCAAACGTGATCCCTTCACAATTCTTCAGTCATAAGGACTCAGTTGGGCTGATGTCGTATAGGTCCGGAACACTCTTAACTCACGAAACCAATGATGGGCCAAATAACGGGCTTTTTATTCCAAATTACTCATTCTCACCCTAAATTTATATTTTGGGCCCAAACAGGACGTTACAACAATATTTAAGCCTTAACTTTTTATCTTCTGATTAGGCACTTTAATTTTTGGGGTAAATAACTAACCACCATATTGAGTTATGGCTCTTGTGTATTTTAGGTAGCTAACATACTTCTAATCTGCCACTCAGTACTACAATTTGGTGGTATGCCTCTTCACTTGTAAATGACAGGTTTAGGTTCGAATCTCGTGAATGGCGAATTCGATACCAAATTAAGTTACTCATTGTGTGGCTTAGCTGAACTCCCATCTCCCTTTAGTGTAAAATATATCATTGTACTAAAAAAACATACTTCTAATCTACTCTTCATTATTAAATAACTAACATTAGGAAATTTAACAGATAGTTTCGTGAACACTAAAACAGCATGCTCAAATCAATTTGTCTTGCGTTTAAGCACAACAAAAAAAGATAACCAACTCCTTTGACGTAAATATTGAGATTTGCTCTTCAAGTTTTTGCTGATACAAGTTGAAGAGATCATCTGAGATTTCTTCTCCAAATTGTTGCTTAATGAGTCCCTCTGTGGCAGCTCTCATGGTAGATATTGAAACCGGTTTGTATGGATGGGTTGTAACCGGTTTGTATGGATGGGTTGTAACCGGTTTGTATGGATAGGTTGTATGTATGAGTTGTCATCCTCACTTTAGCTAAGTCATAGGCTAAAGTCCATTTCCATAACTTGTCATTCACTTTACATCAACCTCACTTTTCATAGTTTGTCATTCACCTTACATCAACCCTTGTCATTCACCTTACATCAACCTTTCTTAATTGCTTGTAAAAACTTATTTACTTGTAATTTGGTTTTTGTTTTTCCACTTGTTAGGGCAGATTTTAGGGATTGTGTTTGTGTAGTTATCCTACAATCTATTGTAGCTTTCTTTTGACTCTCTATAAGAGTTGCCTTCACTCTCTTGTAACATTCATAATGAAATATACAACAAATATTGAAACCAAAACTCAACAGTAGATGCACTACGTTTAGCTATAGAGAGATCGCCATGTTCCAGGACAAGATGAGTATGGTTTCCAAAATCTGTATGCTAAAAGCATCCATTTCGTTCTACAACGACTTCCAGTTTTTGGGGAGAAGTATGAAGGGATGTTAAATGAATCTAATTTTCTAAAGCGTTGAGAAAAAAAAAAAGGACATAAAACACTCAAATTACGTTGAATTGATTTTTATATGTATCTTTGACATTCATATATCATTGTCACACGACTACTATTTTATTGTTACTTTTATGCTCATTCACCACCTTAATTACTAAACATTGAAAATTCATTAAAATACACCCTCTCAGTAAAAAATGAAAACTTATTCAACTAACCAATTTAATAAAGGGGTAGTGCAATTCACAAACCCATATTTACTTCTCACACACTCATCTCAATTTTCAACCGTCTGATCGTATAAATTGAAGATGATCAATAACAAAAAAATTACAAAGGTATGTGAGAGAAAATAGGTGTGTGAATAGCATTATCTTTAATAAATTTACAAGGCAGATTTACTAGTCCATTGATAATTAAAATGATTAAAAAAAACAATATATTAGTCCTCAATACCTGAATAAAATTTGTTCTTCCGAACTATTAGATTTTACATAACAAAGTATAATATTATTATGATGTAGTTTTACTACAATATCAAACATAGAGTAGTGATGTATGGATATTGCTTACCTTCCTAGCCCTGTCCTGGAGGCAAGATCCTAAAATGTCAAAGAGTCACATTTCCTAGAGAGTGAGAATGAGGGGTACCATTGTGGCGTCCTAAAAGGGTAAGCTCTACCAATCCTCCATGCAGAGTCTCTAGCGCCCTGGCATGGAGGAAACACTCCATGTCCTCAGAATATTGAGCTTGATAAGCCTTGACTACTTCGTCTTGGGAATTTGAGTAGTGGATTCGTCCTTTATTCCAAGCTCCACTGTTTTTTTTCGTTACATCTTTTGGTACTCTAGAAAGCCAATGAACCGCTAATGACGAGTGAAAAAAGGGAATGGAAGCCTTATTAGGAAACAAGCAAACCGTAGAAAGAACCTGGCACACCCACTGCATAGTAGTTCCTGTTCTGCGGGAGGGATTTGAAGAGCATGTTAAAATCATTTAGGGTATGATCAGTGGAAAAAAAGCTTGAAATTCGGTAATTTGAGAACTTAGCCCTTGGCTTTGATACTCGAATTTCACAGCTTCAGGTATGTTTTCAACCGAGAAAAATGTATTAGGCCCAACCGAGTAACGCAAATCTGCAATATGGAAGGTGTTGCAAGGTAAGAAGATGTCCAGATCAAGATTTTGTTTAATACCCTTGGTTAGAATTATTTGGCAGCATCAACAACTCCTTTCTACAAAAGCACAGAAAGGAATGGAAAAATATTATGATAAATGAATAGTTTAATTTGCAACTTTTACTAGTTGAACCAAAAAAACGCATCGTGAGAATTTCCTAATATATACTAGTGAAGGCTACATAAGCAGAACCTGCCGTATAGAGTTCTTGGCATAGCTGTTGGGGCCATCTCCACCTGTCATTGGGTATGCTTCAGAAACATTACCAAAAAACTTCTACACCAGTGGCGAAGCCAGAAATTTTCGGCCCGGGGGGGGGGAGGGGCGAAATTTCAAAAGGTAAAAGGTCCAAAAAAATATCGACACCCACATCATTTCAGATAGTAAATAAAATTAAAGTCGTTCATAATTTGTCAATATAAACAAGTTACAATGTTGTTCATATTTTGTGTTACTTTCCCTAATAATTTGGCATCATTCCTTTGGAACTTAGAAAATCCTCATCCAAATATGAATATGAATGCAATTAGCCAATTTTAGATGTGTCCTAGCAAGCGATCTGTTTGTCAGTGATGGTGGCCGTGTCAGCTGCGGTGTGGTGTTGGTCATGCGAGTTGATGGGGGCAGTGTGTTGGTGTTTAAGGAAAACTCTTTAATAGAGGTAGAGTCCACCAATACATGTGAGTGTCATCTCTATTAAAGAGATGGTACAAGTAGATGAAAAGAACATCATTTTTGTAAGTGTGGTATTCTGATGAAAAGTTAACATGTATACTTTTTTGTGGAATGTATATCGACGATATAAGTACTAATTAATATATTCATTTGATTAACATTCTCAAAATTATGGCTCTTAACTGAATTATATACTATCATTAAATTCATAAAGTAGATTAGAGATGTCTAACAAAAGACACAATAACCAACTTGATATATAATATATATATATATATATATATATATATATTTTTTTTTTTTTTTTTTTTTTTTTTTTTTTTTTTTTTTGAACAAACGATATTATCATTAATGGGTGAGAGAGTAGGCTAAGCCTTATAATGAGTTACTAATAATATGGTTCAAATTCGCCTTTTACGTGAATTAAACCTAAGACCTATCACTTACAAGTGAAGAGAAATACTATTAGACTGTTGTACTAAGTGGCAACTTGACATAATTAAAACAACTAAAAAAATGAAATCGAGGGATAATCACAGCACCAAAATGCCTTCATTTTAATAAAATATTAAACAAAATAAAAAGAAAAACGAAAAAGAGCCCAAAAATTGGGCCGAACCAGTTTCATGTGGGTTGTAGATATAACTAAGTCAAAAGCCTATACCCGTAACAGCATCGTTCCATTAAAGCCAATAAACATGACGACACAGTTCCTCTTAAAGCCAATAAACGTAACGGCACCATTCCTCTTAAAGCCAATAAACTGAAATGTGCTACAATTCTTCTTCCTCGCGAGAAGATATGTGAAATTTCATTGTTTTAGTGCAGGTTCTTAGGGATGACGTCCGGAGGGACGGCTTATCGCTCTTAGAGTCGAGTTCTGATGCCTGGAGGTGCGATCACACCTCCTTGCATCTCTATGGCTCGCCACTGCGCGCGCAGCATTTGTGCAGCTGCAACAAAAAACAGGGCTTCATTTCCGGTGAGAGGAAGGGCGGGTACTTGCTCCTAGGCTTCATCTCCGACGAGGGGAGTGACGGCCGCCACTCCTTGCCCTCACGTGGCTTCGCCACTAACTGCAGCTGCCATTTCTCTCTCTTGCTCTTTAACTGGTTACGGGTATGTGAATGGTATCGTGGGAATCATTCTTATTTATATGTGCAGTTTATTGGCTACAACTTCACTCTATAATCCTAAGGCAATAAGAAAAAACTAATGGAAAAGTCTAAGGTGGCTAGTTGATAACGATGACGTGTTCTGATGCGTGAGAATAGTTTGAAAAGTTATTGTAATAATAATCAACAGTTTGCTACCGCTTGACAACCTATTGCATAAATTTATTGGATGAGAAGGAAGAAGTTTAATCACAGAGAATAAAACTCTATAAAAGCGGCGGGGAAGCATGGAGAAAAGGACACTCAACTCAACTTTAAAAAAGACTCTTAAAACTCTGTCAGTTTCTTTGCATTCTTTTTGCAGTCCAGTCATCACCTTTACAGTGTCTAGCTCTGCTACATCTTTTTGTAGTATCGATTTCTTTGTTGTTATTTCCTTTGTTTTCCATTCAAGTTTGTACTCTTTCCACTGCAAGAAGTTTGCCCGGATAGGTTAAAACTTAGTTTAAACTCTTATGTTCATTACTCATTGCGTCAATTATGACTTTTACATACATTGTACTGTCATTTTTATTTACACTATGAATTACTGCAAGCTTTTCAGTTTAAGTACCTCCTCAATATCTGTTTGTCTTCCCTCTCTGTTTTATTTCTTTTAACTAACCATGATAATGAAACTCAAATTATTATTGGTTAATTCATGATCAATTCACATTTAACACAAAATTATAGGTCCTTGTCTTCAAGGCATAGAAAAGAACTCATTATGGACTTAACCCCTCCATAAACAATCTGTTGATTAAAAAGCTTATGTAACTTACGGCGTAAATAAACAACTCAAACACCTAAAGCAATCTAAAATCTGTTGGTCTTGGCCAACAATGGCACGCCCAACACTCTATTAGCTTTATAAGAGAGCCTAGCAAAGGCTCCACAATATCAGGCTGGACACATATGCTTTTCAAACAATTCTTTGGCTCCTTCTACATATCCATATTGCATGTAACCATTATTCATCGTGTTGCAGTAAAAAACATTGTTCGATTCTTGACCATCATTTAGGTCTTTCACGAGCCCAAAAGATTAGTTCCGGTTCAAAAAGACCAAAGTTGCTGTTTATTATACACTTGCTGCTCCAGCTCTCCAAATCCGTTTATATGACTCTATTTGTACTGATATGTTCGGAATCGCTCTGAAGCCTGATGATGATAACACTCTGTTTGGACCCGTTCTGAAGCCATGTGTTCTTTAGCTGCTTCTACATATCCATATTTCATGTAACCATCCTTCATCATGCTGCAGGTCTCGGGTTCGAGACTTGGGAGCAGTCTCTCCATAAATGGGGATAAGGCTAGCCGACATTCACCTCTCCCCGACCCTGCGTAAAGCGGGAGCCTTGTGCACTGGGTACGATCCTTCATCATGCTGCAGTAAACAACATTGTTCGTTCTTCACCCTCATCTAGCTCTTATGTAGTCAAACTAAGATAAAAGTGGTGTTAAAATAGTACTACAGATTCCTAATCAACCGTAATTATTGTAAACATTGTAACTTAAATCGTGCAATTTTAATTTGAAAAGACTACTTTTAAAACATGTGGAAGCATATTATTTGTAGGACAATTTGGAACTACATCTTCAACCCATTGCATTCCAGGTTCTTATCCTCTTCCCTCCCCTGACATAAACAAGATTTGTCCCTTAGTTTTTTCATTATTTTTTTGTTGGACACATCATGGAACTCATGAGTGGGTTTCATTTCATCGACATAGTGGGTTTCATTTGTGCATTACTAACGGATTTTTTTGACGATTTTGCGATAAGAATCAAAGTATGGGACATTATGACACTTGCAGATGCACTGTCGAGTATAGGTAGCTAATATCTTTCCATTGTTATACAGAGTGAAGCTCACTTAAAATCTACTCTTCAATACTAAATAACCAACAAACAGAGAGTTTCAGGAATACAAACAAATAAACAATGAATGTTCAAATCAATTAGTCTTGCGTTTAAGCACAACAAAAAGGACAACTGCCTTCTTTGACTCAGCTATCGACATTTGCTCTTCAAGTTTCTGGTGATACAAGCTGAAGAGATCATCTAAGATTTCTTCTCCAAATTGTTGCTTGATCAGTCCCTCAGTGAAAGCTCTCATAGCAGGAGCACTGGGAGAGCCACTCAAGACATGCTGAGGTAAGGTTTCCAATATCTCTATGCTAAAGCATCCATTTCGTTCCACAATGACTTCCAGTTCTTGGGGAGACACGAAGTAGGAAGGGATGTTAAATGAATCTACTTTTTCTTCACTAATTACCCCCTATATGTCAACGAAAAACATATAGTATTAATCATGCACCCATATATATATATCTAAGATACGATCTTCTGAAATACTGCATAAAGCAACAATACTTGCAATATGAAATATGTGACATAAAACTCTCCAGTTACCTTGACATTGATCAATTTTTTAAACATTCAAAATCCGTTAAATACCTCTACTCGGAAAGAAAAAAAGCTAGAAACCAAGTTAATAGACCGGTGTATGCAGGTTGATGAATATTGCTTACCTTCGTAGCCATCTCCACGAGGCAAGATCCAAAAATGTCAAAACCCACAATTTCAATACAGTTAAGAGGGCGTCCTAGTAGGTTAAGCACAATCAATCCTCGATGCACAGTCTCAAGTGCTCTGGCACGGAGGAAACAATCCATGTCCTCAGCATATTGAGATTGATATGCCTTCAATACTTCGTCTTGGTTATTTGAGTAGTGGATTCGTCCTTTATTCCAAGCACGACTGTTTTTGTCCATTACATCTTTTGGTACCCTAGAAAGCCAATGAAGGGCTAATGAAGAGTGAAAAAAGTTAATGGAAGCCTTGGGAAACAAGCGACCGTGGAAAGAACCTGGCACACCCGCTGCATAATAGTTCCTGTTCTGAGGGAGGTAATTGAAGAGTATGTTAAAATCATTTAGGGTTTTATCACTGAAGAAAACTTGAAATTTGGGGACTTCAGAACTCGGCCCTCCGCTTTGATACTCAAATTTCACAGCTTCAAGTATATTTTCAACAGAAAAAAATGTATTAGGCCCAACCGAACAACCCAAATCTGCAATATGGAAGGTGTTGAATGGTAAAAACATGTCCAGTTCAAGCTTTTCTTTAATAGCCTTGCTTAGAAGTTCTTTGGTAGCATCAACAACTACTTTCTGCGAAAGCACAAATCACATTATAATGCTAATATGTTCAGATTTTGCAACTTCCTTGGAATTTCCTAATACCAACAGAAAGGATTACGAAAGGAGAAAATTTTCTCTTTTCCAAGTTAACTAATGAAGAAAACATTTTCGTAAGAATTTCCAAGTAGTAAAGGCTGAATAAAAAGAAACAAAAAAAAAAAGATTTTTCATCAATTAGCAGAACCTGTTCGATAGAGTTCTTGGCATAGCTGTCGGGGCCATCTCCACCTTTCATTGGATATGCCTCAGAAACATTAATGGAATCCCCCATTGCAGCTGCCATCTCTCTCTCTCTCTCTCTCTCTCTCTCTCTCTCTCTCTCTCTCTCTTTGTTTAAATGGGGGTTGTGGGTGGCTATGTGGGAGTCAATCACAAATATAATCCAAGACAAGGAGAAGAGAATAAGGAAAACTAATGAAAATGACTAGAAAATTTTGAGTTTTAATGATAAGGATAAAATAAAGGGTAAAGTGAATAGTACCATGATTGATTTTTTAGTGTAAAAATGTGATTTTTCGTTAAAGTGAATAGTACCGAAAGCTTTTCGTTAAAGTTCTCAAGAGAATAATGGGGAAAAGTCATTGGTAGTTGGTAAAGATGCCGTGTTCTGATCTGTGAGATAAGTACAAAATAATATAAAAAATAAATTAGATGGAAGAACCACAAGTATCACAGTATATTAAAAGTTGAACTGACCAAATTTTAGCCCTAAATTCAAAATAATATAGAAAACCCAACAATTTGGACTGAAGCCCCAGTCCCGAAATACCAAAAAAATTTCTAAAAAAAAAAAAAAGAAGTAATAAATTAGATGATCAGCAGCCTGTAAGCCCCTCTATTTGTAGAGGCTGCTGTTTCTCTTCGCATAGTGTACATTACATCCATTCGGCAGCACACTTTTAAATCAGCCACAACTCTTCATTAAGACCTGTCAACTTTCTGTAAATTATAATAATTTTAAATAAAAAATTAACTGCAAAATATACGATAAATGGTTAGGAGGTAAAAATTTCTAAGATTCTTATAATTTGAATTCGGATGGGATCCAAATCTGTCTAGAATTAGGATTAGGGGTGGTCAATATTAATTGTTTTCTATGTTAGAAATTCCTTTTATAAAAGAAATTGCACAAATCACACGTGTGAGCATATTATATGTCATAATTCAATACATAACTCATAGCACACGCGGCAACCAAAAGGAAAATACATCTCACCATCTCCCATTCCCACTAAGCCACTAATCCAATCATTTTTCTTTTTATCTTACACCCAAAAAGCATTTGTTTGCCCAAACCAAATATTTATCCAAAAAGAGTATGAAACGTTCCAAAATACTCCCGTTTTTGGCCAAATTTTTTTCGTGGTCCCTGTGGTAACACGACACTTTCAATGTGACCCTCGTGATGAAAAAATTGTTAATTAAACCCTCGTAGTAAGCCTTGTTAGCAATTGAGGTCCAATCCAAACTTCCGTTATTCTTCCGTTAAATAAACTCATGTAACTATCACATGGAGGGTTAAATTCGTCATTTCAATTCAAATTACATTGTATGCAGTGGACATCTAGTATGACTTAGGGTTTAACTGAAATTAGATTTTACCAAAAAATAAAAAAACTTAAACACAGTGAAACTAAACCTACAAAACCATGTCAATGGCTAGGAGAAAAGGTGAATGTGAAGTTGCGCCTAATTTCTTAGGTATGATTTCGTTTGGAAATCCTAATACTTTTAATAAACTTTTGTTTTTTTTTTCAATGCCAACACGTCTTTGATCATGAGATAGAGACTTAATCTTATTTAAATTTTAATTCTTCTATCAATTTGTATCAGTCTGCATATATGCCTTTCAATTTTGTCTTTAATTCGTAGTGTGGTTTGATGCTGGCCATAGTCTTGGAGTACACAACCTTTCAATGCACCTTGGAGACCTCCTGAAATGACCTCTACAGTATCATCAAATGCTAAAAATCCTTGGAGACCTTTTGGAATGGCCCCAATGCACAACATGCAAAATCAACAGATGAAAAAACACAATACCTTGCAAATAAAAATGATGAAGAAAAGGGAATTGATTTTGTTTTGTGAAAATCTAGATTATTTGTTTATTTTGTGGAAGACATTTTTAATGACTGATTGTCATGATGAACCACAATATACTGTGGAAGACATACATTTGTCTTCTTTTTTTCTTTTTTTTTTTTCCGGGTTGGATATATGCTTTTGTCATTAGTGTGCAAAATACATTATGTATGAGAAATGATGAAGTTATTTTTTCTCTCGTGAATGGTTAATGTAAATTATGTCCCCTTTTGTTTCAATTTGCCTTGTACAATGGAATTAGATGCCAACTCACAAGAGAAACAAGTGCATGTCATAACCCACCCAGAAAGAATACACGTATACAATATACCTAAGTCGTGCTAGATGTCCAATGAATAGGATGTAATTTGAATTGAAATGATAAATTTGACTCATCTACGTGATAGTCACATGAGTTTATTTAACAGAATACCAACGGAAGTTTGGATTTGGACCTCAATTGCTAATAGGGCTCACCATAAGAGTTTAATTAATAACATTTTCATCACAAGGGTCACATTGAAAGTACCGTGTCACCACAGGAACCAAGAAAAAAATTTGGCCCCGGTTTTTTATATTTATTTACAAAAATTATGTTTTGCAATCAAGTTTTGTATTATATTGTTAATTTTGAATGCACTTTGTTTATTGTTTTTATGTTAATCTTACACTTATATATTAAAAATGAAAAGTATATATCACAAAATAAACTGGATTTATATATAAGCACATACGGTATACCAAATATTGAGATATAACAATAAGAGAGTTGCAACCATGCTACTAGGCGCCTTTTCTAAAAGACTTGTAGGAACTCCAGAGCCATAAGAGAGTTGTCGTTGAGAATTTCTGAGATGCAGAAGCCCTTTGCGACCTTGCCTCTGAGGAGCATGGTTGGAAAGTTGAAGTTTTAATATTAAATTCAAACACCTTAAACCCTGTCGCTAATGCTACTTGCTTCAGGGCTTCTTCCTTCTTTGTCATCGTTTATTAAAACTTCAACTTTTCAACCATGCACCCTAGAGGCAAGGTCGCAGAGGGCTTTTGCATCTCATAAATTTTCAACGACAACTCTCCTATGGCTCTTGAGTTCTTGCAAGTCTTTTAGAAAAGCCACCTTCTTAGCGTGGAAGTCTTCGAGCTTTTCAGAACCAACCGTTTTGTTATTACTCAAGGAGTCAAGAGGCTTGTCACCTCTCTCTCCAATGGAAGGTAATCATTTCTTGTCTTGATAACATCTCGGAGCACCTTCAGTGAAGAGGGGATAAATGATCAGTATAGATAGACAGCCATGAAATTCAATTTGGTTTTGGAGGGGTGGAGATTGAGCTAGGACCGAACATACCCTTCTAAACTTGAAAGTCATGCAATTACAATGCCATTTTCTTGTCATGAACTTATCCTTGCAATGCAACTTGAATGATACCTTGCAATTAGGCATGCAATTACAAAGTGTCATGAACATATCCTCACAATGCAACTGACATGATAAAATTTCACAAATTTATATTAATATATATATATTAGGGAATCACAAAAGGACTTCCTTTTTATACTCTTAGGGCTCTTTTGGTGGGCTAGATAGGAATGGACATCAAGGATAGGTTAGGCTTTGTAAAACAAGATTTGTAATCTGTGTAATAAGATAAGTTAGATAGTCCACTCTATTCTAAATTCATAACCCATCATGTATAATCTAGTCCATCTCACAATTTGATACAATAAACAATGGGATGGACTCAAGTTCATTTTAATTTGTCATAACATATGTTCCAACTAGCCCACCAAACAGGCCCTTACATTCTTATATGACCCTGCATGCTCACAAAAAGAGTGGATTCACTCGCTTAATGCAATATTCATATGGAATATGGAAATGGGTCTCTTTATTTATTTTTTGGGTTGAGGATGGGAAGATGTTAAAATATAGGTTGGTTGGTCTATGCATTTCTTCAAAACCAAAAGTAGGGAAATATGTCAAACATGAAATTGTTGACATGACCACTGCCCGTGCTTGACAGTGAAGAACTAGAAATTTTCCCATGGGTTGGTTTTATGTTTTCTTTTCCTTAGTGTTGTTAAGTGAGTTAAAGAGCGTTTAAGTGTAGAGTTAGCAGTTGACAAGTGTCAAACCCTAACATAGACCACAGAAAAGTGACAAAGAGATTTGGATGCAAAATATTTGAATTTGCATTAGCATTAAGATTAGAGGATGAGGATTTTCTCTTGATTTTCTTTGTAAGGATCCTAGGATCCTTATATTTTAACTGTTCATAGTATATCATGCGGTCATCTTTCATTAGGTACTTTTGTGTTTAATTTTAAATAAAAATTAACCGCACGATGTACGATAAACGGTTAAAATGTAAGGATCCTAAGATCTCCACAATTTGAATTCGGATAGGTCCAAATTCATCTAGAATTAGGATTAAGGGTGGTCAATATTAATTGTTCTAAGTTAGAAATTGATTTTATAAAAAGAAATTGCACACATCACACGTGTGAGCGTATTATATGTCACAATCCAATACATAACTCATGGCACATGCAGCAACCATAAAGAAAATACATTTCACCATCTCCAATTCCCACTAAGTCACTAATCCAATCATTTTTCTTTTTATCTTACACCAAAAGGCATTTGTTTGACCAAACAATGTATTACATAACATCTTTGGAAGGCTGCAAACAAAAGGGAAAAATCAAATACTTATCCAAAAAGTGTATGAAACGTTCCAAAATATTCCGGTTTTTTTTATATTTATTTACCAAAATTATGTTTTGCAATCAAGTTTTGTATTTTATTGTTAATTTTGAATGCACTTTTAATCATATACTTATATATTAAAAATGAAAAGCATATATCACAAAATAAACTAGATTTATATATAAGCATATACGGTATACCAAATATTGAGAAATAACAATAAATTTGTAAGTACGAAAAAGTTCGAGAATATTAAAAAACTTGTAAAAGTTCGAGAATATTATATTAGCACCCCACAAATTGTTGAATAAACCTCACGTACTTAATACACCCCACATTTATTTTTTCAATTAAAAATTATCTTAATACACCCCACTTTCTTCCCCATAATACCCTCACACCCCACATTCTTAATATACATCTTACATTTTCTACACATACCCCACATTTTTTATACATCCCACATTTCTCAAATCTTATAACACTCATTTTGCCGAATGATTTCAAACTATATGAACTTTAGTTTGCCGAATGATTTCAAATTGAATGATTTAAAAAA